TGTTAACCATTACTGTAATTACTAGGACTTTTAGAAAGAAAAGGACTTTTAGAAACAGAAGCATTATCTCAAGTATTTAAAAAACAATTCAGTCACAACATAGCTGCCATATGAGCCCCAAGCTGAAAGGAGTTTTTTTTTTAATATTTAACTATTAGATATAGCACATTGAATTGGGCAAATGTTTTACCTAAATACTGCTCTGTTTCAGCTGGGTAGAGGGGCTTGACATTACTCCCCCTCCCTCCCTCCCTCCTCTCTCCCTCTCTCTCTCTTTCTCTCTCTCTCTCTCTCTCGCCTTCCCTCCCTCCCGCCTCCCCCCTTTCTCCCTTTCTCTCCCTCTCATTTGTAGAAGGAACTGCTTTCCCTCAATCTTGAAGCTGGTGTTCTGAATCACCCCTAGAACTCACGTTCTGCAGAGAATGATCATGTTTCTTTTATCTGGCTCCTTTAAGCCATCCTCACTGTGGAAAGGCTTCTCAGGAGCAACACATACAGACAACTATCAGAAAGTCTTCAGATAGCTGAACATGGGTGGCTCACAACTGTAATCCTAGCTACTCAGGAGGCTGAGATCTGAGGATTGTGGTTAGAAGCCAGGCCAGGCAGGAAAGTCTACAAGTCTCTTTTCTCCAATTAACCACTCCCCACCAAAAAAAAAAAAAAAAGCCAGATGTGGAGCTGTGGCTCAAGTAGTAGAGAGCTAGCATTGATGGGGGTGAGGAGAGCTAAAGGATAGCCCTCCACACCCCAAGTGCAGACCCCCAGGCTGGCACAAAAAGTTAATATAAAAAAAAAAGTTAAAAGGAATCCTGTTAGAGTCTACTTTGATAACTGGGTCAGTGAAGGAAGGTCTATTTACATACTCATTTAAATGCAAATACTTGAGAACTATTGAGACTGAATAAAACTTTTCAATGGGGCAAATTATCACATTATTGTATACTTATTGTATACTTGTATTTAAGTGGGCAAAACATTTTTTGTGGAAAATGTATGGAAAGAATGTTCTTCAGTTTCTATCTGGCTTCCTTGTTAGTGGGTAAAAATAATAAAAATTTCTTCTATTATTTAAAATAGTAGGGAAGTTAATGTGATCAGAGTGCAATGTTTACATATATGAAAGATTTCATTGAAATACCTCACATTGTCTAATTAATGTGTGCTAATAAAAGCAATAGGTATAGCAAGAAGAAAGTAAAAATGCCTGATGTAGAAAGAGATAAAAGATTTTTTTAAATGTTATAGTGAATAAAACTTCTCTCACTGGGTACTAATGAAAGAATAAATGCATTAACCACTTCTGCACTAAAGTAGAATGTTTTGAGTCACATTATGTCATAGATATTAAGGTCAGGCTTTCCTGTCAGCTATTAAACTGACAGAATTCCACCCAGCATTTGACTTAGCTTTTCCTCTCCCTAATTTTGTCAATTAAAAAAAAAAAGACACTAAGCCACTGAGTATCTTAGAGTCATACACAATGAGAAAATATTATTTTCTCTTATCTAATCTTTCCCTTAAAAACCCAGATAAACAATCCTCACAAGGTTTTTAGAGTATGCATTAGATAAAAACCATCAGCCAATCACGGGTGACTCATACATGCAATCCTAGCTACTCAGGAGACCAAGATCTAAGGATTCAGGTTCAAAGCCAGGAAGGAAAGTTCATAAACTCTGATCTCCAATTAACAACCAGAAAACTAGAAGTGGAGTTGTGGCTCAAGTGGTAGAGCACCAGTGTTGAGCACAAAAGCTCAGAGACCCTAAGCCCTGAGTTAAAACCCCAGAATTGGCATTAAAAAAATGTAAATGTAGAAAATTCTAATCAACTATTCACAAACACAAAGAACAGCAAGTAGCTCTTGGCATAAGAAAGCAAATCCAATCCCTTCTATTTTGGGAAAAAGTAGGCCACACACCAATTCTGCCACTGAGAGACTTTCCATAAGGCCAGAAGGCCATTTAATTTAATTCATTTCCACAATCATTCATTTCACTAGTTGGGGTGCAAGTTTTAGAGATATACGCAATACAAAATAAGCCACAAAAACCATGGGAAAAAGAATTTTAAAAAGAAAGCACTTAAGTCCTTTAGAATGACTTAACTGATGGGGAATTAAGGTAAAGTTTGCTAACATTTGCCTTGCAAAGAGAAGATGGTACAGTGGCATGAATATAGAAATTAGTCCATTTCTTTGGGTATGTCAGAAGGAACAGCTTTTACTATGACAGTATTCTTTTCCATGTACTCTTGATTATACAAGCAAACAAAAGACCAATTAAAGCTCAGCCATGGAGTTCTACACACACACACACACACACACACACACACACACACACACACATGTTCCTTGCAGGAAAATACACAAGCATTAAAGAGTCTTTGCTAAAATTGCTAGAAATAAAAATACATCTTCTGTTTCATTTGCGAGGGGAAAATGTATTTTGAGTCTAAATAGTAGTACTGATGGAATATCAAATTCAAAAGCTCTCTCAAGGACAGAAACAGCTTCCAGAATATTTATAAATTGAAATAATTCTACATGTCTTTAATCTATTAATGCATATTCAGTTGGGTGTCAACGTGCTTGTGAGCTGCTAGGGTAAATTCTTGATAAAGGGCTCAGAAAGCTTAAGGCTATGTCTACATGTAGAAACTCTTCTACAGATCTAAGGGAATTAAATATTATAACACTGCTTCGAAATAACATGAAGGATCTGAGACAATGTAATGACAACAAGCAATATAGGCATTTCGTAAACCTCTGTTTCCTTTTCTAACTGGATTGCTATTTTAAAATTAGCAATATTATTTAAGCTACTAGCTTAAGCTTGTTTTTCTCTGATGTCTATTTATTTTATTTCCTTTGCATTGTTAAGATAAGCTTCAGTATATTTAATTTGGGATAGGGGGAAAAAACCTTTAAAAACAAAATAGAAAAGCTTGTCACTGGTGGCTCATATCTGTAATCCTAGCAACACAGGAGGCTGAGATCTGAGGATGGTGGTTTAAAGCCAGCCCAGGCAGGAAAGTCTGTGAGACTCTTATCTTCAATTAAATTCACACACACACACACACACACACACACACACATGCACACACACACACATGCACACAAAGAGAAATTAAGCTGTGATTCAAATGGTAAAGCATTAGTCTTGAGTGGAAAAAGCTAAGAACAGAACCCAAGCCCTGAGTTCAAACCCCAGTACACACACACACACACACACACACACACACACACACACACACACACACACTAGCAGCTCATTACTAGCAATCTTTCTGGGAAATGAGAGTTATAGAAATATTGGAGTCATCTTTACATGTATAATGAATAATCTTTCTGATATGATGACTCAGTCCCAGTAGAAGCACTGGCCTTTGAAGAATACACTGAAGTGTGTGGCAAAGAGGATATAATTTAAGCATTAGACATTAATAGCATTCTAGGAACTGTTTCACTTTACCATTCAAGCTGCTGAGGCATGTTAACAATCATATATATATATATATATATATATATGAAAAAATCTCAGTAGTATGGGTTTAGGATAATAAAACAAAAGTCAAATGACATTAAAAAGAATATTTTTCTATTGTTTTTCATCCTGTGGTCCTTATTCTGGCTCTCCCAACAGTGCATTTTGAATAGTTGAATTCAAAATTTTACAAACAAAATGTAAAAAACAATCTCTGCCAACCAATATTTAGGGTTTGGGGGTTGGGGACAAACAGACTCTTAACTAAGACAAAGCCAAACCATTTCTCTAGGGTATTAACACACCATGTATATATTTTCTTGCTTTTTTGAGAACCAGACGGTCCAATCAACCCAAACCAGCAGTGCTCCAGGTTCTATTACATAAAAGGACTTCCATGATTTGTGGGGAGTCATCATAATGTAACTATATGACCACATTTAAATTTTAGGTTATCGACAAGAGTATAAAAACCTTAACAGTGGGAGAAACTGTAAAATAGGTATTATCCACACACAAGAAAGTGGCAGCTTAGAAAGGTGAAAAAAATCCTGTACCTAATGGCATTTAGTTGAAATCTTTTCCCTGATTTTGATTTTTTTTATTGAGGGAGGGTCCGTAGGGAGGGGCAGTTAGGGAGCGTTCTGAAAACACAACACAGAAATCTACTCTGGGAACCTTTTATTTCTCCCCCAAATTATCTAAACCAACCAAACCAAAAGCTTGCCTTTAATTTTTCCTTGTAGTAGATCTTTACCTATTTGCATATCTAACTATTGGAAGTAGCAAAGTTTTCTGCCAATCAATAATTCCCTCTTCTTATGGGGTATGTACTACCTGGCTTTTTCTGCTTTCCAAATGTTTGTCACACAGTGATACAGCAAAGAGTCCTTTTTTGTGGTTGTTGTTTTTGTTTTTCCTGGAAAGAGAGGGAGGGAGGGAGAGGAGGAGGGAGGGAGAAAGGGAGGCAGGGAGAAACGGACAGAAAGAAGAAAGGGAGGAAAGCAAGAGAGAGGGAGGGAGGGAGGGAAGGAGGGAAGGACTAATCCTCTGGTCTGCAATGATTCCTCCCTCTGGCTCTAGCACTCATATTCTGGCATGACTTTTACTTAGATTTGGTTGCCTTAGTTTTTGTATTTTGTTGTTGTTGTTTTTTTGTTTTAACAAGGGAAAGTAAAGGTGACTTCTGAGTGTTCCGCCATGTTGAAGGGGGAGGGGGGAGGAAGGAAAGCAAAAGGTTTTTAAAAAGAAGGAGGGGTGGGGTGGGGAAAGTGCTTGAAAAGATTTCCCAGGGACTTATCTTGGATGGAGGATCATTGTAGCATCCCTCTTTCCAACGTCATCTCCCGCCCCTGTTTCCAGCCTGCCAAAGACCACCTGGGTCCCAGGCTGGGAAACAAGAGTAGTCCTATCTGAATTTCTTTAGAGAAAGCAAAGCATCCTTCCGTAGTTTCCAGGAACGAATTGCACACTCTCTGACACGTGGGCCCTTTTATCTCCATCTCGGAGCTCTCACAACTTTTTGGCACTGTCATGGCACGCAGCTGCCCGCACGGTGGTCCCAGCTAAGCCGCGGTTGCTCACCCTCCGGACCAGCACTTTAGAGACTGGGATTTTTGTTCTGGGCAGGTCGCTCCTGGATGGTGGTTGGGGTCCAACAGGCTGGCTGGATGGGAGGTTGGTGAGATGTTTGACGCTAATGGGGATCTTGGAGTCTTTCAGCAAACTGCCCGGTGTTCGCAATGGACAGGTGATGGTGCCTGGCACCACAGGCTTTAACCGGGACAAACAGGTGTTCTCCTCGCTGGCAGGAGGGGCGGCGGGGCTCCCGTTGGGCTCCGTGTAGAGGTCATACAGGGCGTCCCCGCTGTCACTGTCCCGGGGCACACGCGCCTTTTTACTGCTGTTCACTCGGTCTTCCTCTGGACCAGGGGTGGTGGAGTCACAGTAACCCTCATCACTGTTGGGGACTCCTTCTTGCGGCTCCTTCTCGGGGTGTCTGGGGTCCTCCTTGGCCTGGGGATCCACGGGAATCCGGTTGAGTCTCCTGCGCTTGACGGAGGACGCGTCCTTGGCGGCTTCCGCACGCCTGGCATCTTTGGCTGTCTCGGGCACGCTCGCCTTGGCTTCCTGGGCCATGGCTCCCTTCGCCACTCGGTCTTGGGGCCTGGCTTCTGGTGGGTCCTCCGTCTGGGAAAGCATGTCCCAGAATTCCTGCAGGTAAGTGTCACCCGCCCCGTCGGGGCTGGCCATCTCTTCTCCTCCTCCTTGGTAAGCAATCACGGTGGGGTTCTTTTTAGAGAGCAGGGCGGCGGCGGCGGCGGCGTGGTGGCCTGACCCCGGCATGTGCTTGTCACAGCTGGAATCGGCCTCTTCTTCTTGATCTGCAATAATATCTCCACAGCCTGTAAGAGAGTCAAAGCTTTTCAGTGAAGTCACGTCAGAAAACATCAAACAAATACGATCGGCCGATGGGTCAGAGGGTGGGTCAACAGAGTAAGACAGGTCAGGGATGGCAGATGCCCGGCCACTGCCACACTCCGAGTCGACAGGGGGGACAGGCTTTATCAGAACATCACCTGTGCTGGGAGCCTCCTGAGCCGAGCCGACCTCATCCGCTCCGGGATCGGGGGGTGTCCAGGACTTCTCGGTGCGCGGGTGATGAGGATGGGGGTACCCCGTGGAGTCCTCCGCCCGGGGGTGCGTGTCGTGCGGACCCCCGGGGCTCTGGGCCTCACGGCCCAGGCCGCGATCGGTGCTGGTGACGGTGGGGGTGGGCACCTCCTCTCCCCCTCCGCGCTCACCTGCGGGGTCTGGCGGGGTCTCCCGGCCGGTGGGGCTCTCGGGCTGGCCGGAGGCCCGGGGCGTTTCTTCCTTGACGCACTCCAGGCTGGCGGTGAGCGAGCCGGGGAGGAGGAGGCCGCCGGGGCTCGGGGCGCACGCCGCGGCCGCCGCCTCCTTCTCTCCATCCTTGCCGCCGCCGCCGCCGCGCTTGTCCCTCTTGTGCCAACGCATACTGCTAAAAATCCCTCGCAGCCCCTTCTTTTGTTTGCCCGCAGCCTTGCCCGCGTCCGAGGGCTCGCCTCCCCGGCCGCTGTCCGGCCTGCCGCCGCCGTTCTTTTTCAAAAGGGAAAAGAAGCTGTGCGACTTGGCCACGGCGCTGTGGTGGTTGGCCGGGGAGCTCCCGCCGCGCCCCTCGGGGGCTTTGGGGGCCCCCAGGCCGGCCCGGCCCCGGCCCGCCGCCCCATCCTCGCGGGCCGCCTCCTCCTCCTTCCGGCCGCTCTCCAGCACCGACACCGCCTCGGCTAAGCCGTCGTGCGTCCGACTCTTCACCATCCCCGCCGGGCCCGAGCTTTTCCCATCCCCTTTGTGTTTGACCCCAAAAATGCTAGGCAGGGTGCTCCCCGTCTTCCTCTTCTTGAATAATTTGAAAGCTGCTTTGTTGATCTTCCCCGAGGGCTGCTCCGGAGCTGGCGTTTCCGAGGTACAATCGCAAGGTAAGTCCATGTCTGCCACCGTGAGACGACCCCGATCCCACCCCCGGCTTCCTCCGCCGCCGCCGCCGCTTTCTGCAGACCCCCGTGGACGCGCGCGCTCACTGTCAGCCGCCGCCGCCGCCGCCGCCGCCGCTCCCGCCCGTCTCCATGGCAACCGAGGGATTGGGGAGGAGGGCGGGGGGGGGGGCGGATAAGCAGCTTTCGTCAGCCCTGGGCTCCAGCCAGGCCACTGTCATCCGGATTCTAAATCAACCTGAGCCTCCCTGGCTGCTGCTGCTGCTGCTGCTGCAAGAAAACACACAGCAAAGACCAGCTCCCTCTCCACGCCTTCCTGCAAAGGGGCTTATATAATACCCTAACCCTCCCCGCCCAGCCCAGCCCAGCCCAGCCCAGCTCACTTGGCTTTGACTCTACCTAGCAGGTGGGTGATGAGAGCCAACAACACAGCCTCTCCAGCTGACTGAAAACATTGAAATCGTAATTATGGCATTCAAAGTCCATCTACACTCACCCCGGGTCCTCTGATTCCTCCTCTAGATCGGCTCTTCCTGGGAGCCTCATCATGGATCTCTCTCTCTCTCTCTCTCTCTCTCTCTCTCTCACACACACACACACACACACCACCATCACCACCACCACCACCATCACCACCACCACAGCAAGTTAGGTAGCTCAATGCCCCCCCCCAAAACACATAAATATTCCTGAGTTGGGTGTCGGTGGCTCACTTGACATCTGAAGATTGAGGTTGAAAGCTAGCCTGGGGGGGTGGTCCACAAGACTTGTGGACTTCCCCCAAGACTCTTATCTCTAACTAGCAAAGTCATGGAAATGAATACATGGTTCAAGTGGTAGAGTGCCAGGCTTGAGTTTTTAAAAAAAGCCAAGCAAAAGGCCCTGCATTCAAATTTCCCATGTGCTAACCTTCATGCATTCTGGTGTCTTTCCCTTCACAAGCCTAGCAGGAATTAAGTGTACATTTACATCTTTCTGGACCAGCGCTCAATATGATCTTCAAATCAATGTTGCATCTGTAATATTAGGGCTGTCATGTCTACTACAAAAGCACTAGCCATCAGCCAGGCACCAACTTGCATCTCAGCAAAGAAAGCTCAACCAGCAGTTGCCTGGTCCTTCGAGGACATTGATGGCTTTTTTTCCCCAGACTCCAAGTGACAGAAGGCACTGCCCAGCTCACATTTGGTCACAATAGACTGAGCTGGCATTGATGGAGCTTGGAAACTGCACAGGTGAGCCTTGTGATCTGACTGGGGTTCTGCTCTCTCATTTTCCTTTTAGTGAGATATTGCTTTATTCCTGATCGTTGCTAGTACCTCCCAAGTCTGGCTTGTAGCGGCAATTCCCTCTGTAGGGCAGGAAAAGCTGACATGGATCCTTGAGTGTCTAGGCACCCTTTAACAGCCCTGACCCAGGTGGGCTGGAGAAAAGGAAAAGCCCACCCAGGGAGTAGGCCAGTCAGGGTCTTTTCTATGTTCTGACTTTGAAGGCAATCATTAACATTGTCATCTTGACATTTGCTTTCATGATCCCAGCTGAGGGCTTATAAGCAGAGAAAAGAAATCTGAAGAAGCACACACATCATTAATATATGTTGTGTATTATTCAACACTCGTGTTAAATACTATTCAATTATATATAGTACTTACACATAAACACAAATATCAGTCTCTTTCCTACTCATCGTAGGCTTTCTTTCCTTTCTTATCTCTCTTCCTTTCTCTTTCTCTTTTTCCTTCCTTTCACTTTCTCCCTTCCTTTCTTTTCCTTCCTTTCTTCCTTTACCTTTCTTTTTTCTCTTTCTCTTCTCTCTGTCTCTGTCTCTGTCTGTGTGTGTCTCTCTCGCCTTCGTGGTAATGGAGCTTGAACTCAGGACCTGGGCTCTGTCTCTGAGCTTTTTCACGCAAGTCCAACACTCTACCACTTGAGCCTTACCTCCAGTTCTGTCTTCTCATTGGTTAAATGGAGATAAGAGTCTCTTAGATTTATCTGCTGACCTCACATCATCATCCTCAGATCTTAGTCTCCTGAGTACCTGGAATTACAGGCATAAACCATTGGTGCCCAGCTCCTTTCTGTGGTTCTATTGTTTTTCTATCCCCTATACCTAAAGTAGAGTGGCCTTCTAAACGTCACCACATTGTTACCACTTACCAGCACCTCCCAAACATCCTCTTTGCTTCTGCTCTATTTAGCCAGAGCCACTCTGAGCAAATATCTCATTTCAGATTGCAGAACTGGATGGGGTCTTTTCAGTTGCCAGAATCAAAGCAGGCTTAGGGCAGCCAAAATGAGGGCAGAATGAGGCCAGATAGCAGAGGGTGAGCGGACAGCATGCCAGGGCTGTGGGCATGGATAAATGCAGGATTAGAGGGCAGCCAAAGCAGCAGTAGGAGTCATCTAATGCTAGCAGCAGAGCCAGGTGCTGGTGGCTGCAATCCTAGCTACTCAGGAGGCTGAGATTTGAGGATATCAGTTTGAAGCCAGCCCAGGCAAGAAAATCCATAGGAGACTCATCTACAATCAAGCACAAAAAGCCAGAAGTAGAGCTGTGGCTCAAGTGCTGGAATGTGAGCCTTGAGCAAAAGCAGCTCTGGGCTAACACCCATGTCCTGAGTCCAAGTCCAAGGACTGGCGCGCGCGCACACACACACACATACATATGAAATATAAATAAACATGAAAATACATATAATTTATATTCAAATATATCAATAAACACCAGCTCCAATATATATATATATATATATATATATAAATACTAGCAGGAGGCTGGGAAGGTGGCTCAGTGGTAGAGTGCTTGTCTTGCATGCATGAGGTCCTGCATTCTATTCCTCAGTACCACATAAACAGAAAAGCTGGAAGTGCGCTGTGGCTCAAGTGGTAGAGTGCTAGCCTTGAGCACAGAGAAGCTCAGGGACAGTGCATTGACCTTGAGTTCAAGCCCCAGGACTGGCAAAACAAAACAGGAGAGGCAGGATTGATCCACCTCACTCTGGAACAGCCATTCAAAGCCTAAGTTCCAGTTCCTTGTACTTAGGGCCATTGCACTTTCTAGGCAAGTTATCTACCACTTGAGACCAGCCCTCCCTCCTTTTCATGTGGGGTCTTCGTCTATCAGGGCTGGCCTCAGACTATGATCCTCTTACTTCTGCCTCCTGCTTAACTGGCATTATAGCAGTCTCTTACCAGGCTCCGCTTGTTTTCAAAGATAGGGTCTTGCTATCTTTTTAACTTGGCCTCCAGCCTCAATCTTCCTATCTCTACCTTCCCTGTAACTGAGATGAGAAATATCTGTGCTACCAGCATCTGCCTCTTGTGCTCGTTTTAAAAAGCTCTGCTTTGCCCTGTGCCTCCTCAGCAGACAGATGGCATGTGTTCACTATCCTGGGTAGTGCAGACTTGGGCCCTCTGCCCAAGTTCCAGCAATTAGAGGAAGCCACTTTCTGCTTTCACATTTCCTTATCATAGTCTCTGGAATCACCCACTCCATCACCAGCTACTTTCATGGCTTTTGAAAACACACAAGAAATCACTCTTGTGTCTTCAGGCCACTGTTGGTCTGTCCTTGTCCCTCATTTAAGTCCCCTGCCTAAGTCCCCATCATGATGACTCTCAGGTCCCTTAGCTCATTGGGGGACAGTGTCTCTCCCCACTCCTCTGGAGATTACCTCAGTGGAAGGTATGGAGCTCATTGTGTGTGTGTGTGTGTGTGTGTGTCTGTCTGTCTGTCTGTCTGTCTGTGCGCATGAGCGCTAGTAATAGGCTAGAGCTTGAAGTCAGGTCCTCAAACTCTTGCTTGACTTTTTGGCTCAAGGCTGTTGCTCTACCACTTGAAGCACGCCTCCACTTCTGGCTTTTTTTTGTGTGGCTAAGAGTCTCACAGACTTTCCTGCCCAGGCTAGCTTTGAACGGTGATTCTCAGATCTCAGCTTCTTCATTCAAGCCTGGTGCTGCATCACTTGAGCCATGCCTTCTCCTCAACTTGTTACTGGTTCATTGGAAATAAGGGTCTTACAGAGTTTTCCTCCCAGGGATGGTTTTGAACACTGATCCTCACATCTCAGCCTCCTGAGTAGCCAGGATACTAGGTGTGAAACACCAGCACATCCAGCTAATCCATCCTTTTTCAAAGGAGAATTTGAGCGCTCCTGTGGGCTGGGTACTGACATGAACACACATGACACTTGCCCTTGCCAGTGAGTGACCAGACCTCTGGCTTGGAGGTGATTTTTCCTCCTTTGGAAAAGAAAAAGACTCTGTTTTTTCTTTATGATGGTGAATCCTCAAATAGCCAGGTTTTTTTCTGCCACAGACCGTAACCAACCACCTACTGGGTTTTCTTCACAGGCTTTGGGTTAAGACTCTGATCCATATTCCTTCAGTTTTCATTTATGTTTCTTTTACCAACCATCCCAGCAAGGCTACTCTTTTTTCAATAGTCAGAAATCTCAGCCAACCTATTCATCTTGAATGGCTCCTGGATTCACACCACTGAGCTCACTAGCCAAGCTAAGGATGGGACTTCTTTTTTTTTCCCCCTTTTCTTTTCATTTTAGCTTTCAGCAAAGACTGGAATCATGTGACCTGGCCCCAAGTAGTTCTCAATCCTGTATGTTGGGGGATAGGGGGAAGACAATGACTCAAATTGTCCCCTAGAAAGAGAATTGGGCTTTTCTAAACAAGCTTCCTTCTCCCAAGTGTCTGCTTTTATTTACTGGAAGATTGAAACTCTGAGTAGGAAATTTCTAGGTCAGCTCTACTTTGCTGTCAAAAAGAAAAAAAAAATCTCTAGCCAAAAAGAACAGCAAAGCAATGGCCTGGGTTTGCTCGGTGTGACTTGTCTGATTACCCAATTATTATGGCTTAGATTAGGACGGATTAACCCCTGAGGTTGGACAGATGGAGAACGCTATTATAATGCCCCATGTGGGTTTTCAAAGTGGGGTATCAGTGAACACCTGTCCCCGTTTCTCGGGTTAGTCTGTCCTCATTTAGAGTCCTGAGTTTACCGGCTTTGAAGCTAGTATCTGAGGAT